GATTTGTGAAGCTTTATGGCCCTTCATGGAGAGAAATGCAGGCTCTGGTTCACTGACTCATCCACTGATCCTTTACAGAGCATTATTGCACTGAAGCAGAAAACCCAAATTCTTAGATTACTCTCGAAAACTGCCATGACACATGCAAGGCCTACGATACCTCTGTTTGGTGTGATTCCATCCGAGGTTCCGCTCTCCACTCGTAAAGCAGACCTCATTGCATCTATGTCACATTGCTAGCTAGACGCTGGAATTTATTTAGGAGGAAATCCTCACTCCCTTACAATCCATGACAAGGAGCATATTGGTTGGCTGTTGAGTCTCTCTATCTAACAAGCTGTTGGTATTTGTTTTAACCATATATTGATTAGGCAACAATGCGTATGTTGTCTTTGTCATGTAAATACTTATTTACTTAATTATTTTAATGTTGTTATTATTTTTTTTCTTCTGGGTTGTGCATGCCTCATCCTCCTGTTTTTGTGCAGAGCTGACATGTGTGATTTGGAATTTTCTTTGGTTGATGTAATTGTGTTGGAAAATCTTCAGCAAACAGATCTTAAAAAGAACAGGAAGCCACAATATGTTTGGAGAGCAGTTCTGAAGCCTGGTTCTGCTGGACCTGGGTGATGAGGGTTTTCCTGCTTTCTTTATGCAAAATGTTACACTCTGATCTTATCATAAGATCTTAAGGAATCCTGACATTTATTCTTGAAATTTCAGTAGAGTGTCGCATCAAACATGGAAGGAACATACACACACGTATGATCACCACTCATACATTTTTTTTTAGCAATATTGGTCTGCTACTTTACATTAAAGAAAAACTGTCAAGTAGATGTTAAAAATTAAGTGTAAGATTGTTAAATGTCACCTGAAATTAAATCTATTTCCAAGTAATCCTGTTTACTGAGCTCATTGACTGTTCTGCTTTGCCGTTGCTGCAAATGTTAGCTCTCATGCTAAGCCGGTAAACCAGGATATTAGGCTCAATGTTAAAAATAGCTCAAAAGGGCTGTAATTGATCTCATATCATCAGCGCGCGTGTGTGTTCGAGGGGAACAGCTGCGGCCCCCAGCATGTTTACGTGTCCTTGCGTTTCTGTTTGTCTCTCCCTTGTGTGGCGAGCTGTAGCTGTAGTAGGCTGGTGGACACACACGCTGTCTGCCCCCCCCCCCCCCCCGAGTCAGGGAGCTGGGGTCTCAGTGTAAGGAAGGTGAGAGGAAGGGCAGGGGTGGGGGGGGCTTAGTTTTGGGGTCCGTGTCTGTGCGACAGCCAGCGAGTTAACAGCTGGAGAGACTTAAACATAGGAGGCTCCACAAACACAAGCTGGGCTGTGTGAGGCTAAGCAGGTCAGAACGCCATGCCTGTGATTGGAAGGTTGTTGGTTCAAATCCCAGGCTCGCCAGAATCATTTCACTGTTTGGCCACTGGACAAGGCCCTTAACCCCAATTGCTCCAGGGACTGGCCCTGTCTCTCAACTGTGCATTGCTTTTGATAAAAGTATCTAGTAAATGAATCTGTATCATCAGTCAAAATCACTTTATTTCGCCGAGGGCATTTACATGCCTGAGAGATTTGTTCTGGCATAAATGTAGCTATATAATAAGAAAAAGAAGTATAATAATATAAAATGACAGAATACAGATATTTACAGGATAGTACATATGAGTAGCAGACCGGTAACAGGGACACCGAATGTGTGGGAATGGGCATGTGTTTCCCTGGAGAGTCCAGCCACAGTAAAGGTCTCAAGGACACAAAGAGTCACGTATTGCAGTACCAGCAAACAGCACTTGGTGTGTCATGCAAGGGTGAAGTTTGGGTTTGACCTGAAGGGACCTGTGTGTTTAGGGGAGATTCAGGGCTGATTTAGTCCCTATCAATGTTGGACCTAACCCTACCCCCTTGGTGTGATATAGGCTTTTTCCTCCTGCTTAAACTTTGTCCTGTGCTGCCTGGGATAGCTTCCAGCACTCCTTTCCAAACCCCCCCCCCTACTGGGTAAGTATTTGGCAGTTGGATGGATCGATGTTTTAATCATGCATTTCAGTGCAGAGTCAACAAACCTGAGCTTAGACAAAGTGCCAAGTCAGTCTCGAGCCTACTGAATGTTCTGTGTTCGTGCATGAGAGTGTGAATTTGTGGAAAATTGATGTGTGGGTTTAGAAAACATTACACTTGAGAACAGCGCTGGTTGACCCATTAGGCGACATAGGTGGCCACCTAAGGCATCATCGTCTGAGGGCTGCCGACTCAGCAAACCATTTTCTCTTTGTCTCGGCCAGGGGGCACCGATGACACTGCGTGGGTTTCGACTGGTGCTGCTCAAGAACCAGTGTGACACAGAAAATAGGAAATGAACACAAAGGAAATTCATGAAACAGACGAGCACTCCACATCCAGAGACTCTACGCCGTTCTCTTGGCCGTGAGAAACCCCATATATATATATTTTCTCCTAGGAAACTTGTAGGCTTGGCATGAAAGGCAGGTAATGTGCTGGGTCTTTGAAAGGTTCAGCTGGGGATGGAGATCTCCTATACATCTAAACACCTCCAGAGGTCCAGCAGATGAGGAGATGAATCTGTTACAGAGCACTTACAGCCAGGTACTGGGTCAGCAGACTCCGGACACAGCTGAATTTCCAACTGTAATATGCAGCCGACGTTACTGATGCCAAACTGGCGTTTGTTAGTTTCCAGAAGTGGATTTTTGTTTAAATTCAGTACTGGGTCTTTCAATCACCCTTTGTGGTTGTTTCTTAAAGGGCCAGATGAACCATCAGACATAGACTGCTCCGTGGCCGTCAGACATAGACTGCCTCCGTGGCCGTCAGACGTGGCCTGCCTCCGTGGCCGTCAGACATAGACCGCCTTCGTTGCCGTCCCGCGTCACACACATCTGTACCGCCTACTCCGTAGCAGCTTAGCTGCGTTTCGGATCATTGCCATTCAAGCTGGAATAAAATTGCGCTTCATTTGCCATTTGCACAGTATAGGTACTCTGGAATGCTTCTTCTTGCATATCCCATCATGTTCTCCTTTGTAAGTGATACACACACATAAATACCGCTGAGAGTGAAGTTTCGGGTCACGGCACAGGGTCAGGCTATTTATTCGGGCCCCTGGAGCATTTTGGAGGGTTAAGGGCCTCGCTCAAGGGCCCAACGGACATGTGACTATGTTGATGTCTCACCTGTGCGTTTAAACAGTGTGATTAGGGCAGACCTTTCCTGTTTGTCTCCAAGACGTTCGCTTGAAGACCCAGCAAGTTGGAAAAGGGCCACCGCTCTTGTTTAATGTCACTCTCCCCGGCACTTCTGGGGTTAATTAGTGGGGCACGTGGATCTCTGTGGCCAACATGGCCGCCTCATGTTTCCCGGGTAATTCCTGCGTGATCAATCAGTGCGCGGTGGGGGTGAGGATTGTTTATTTACATCCAAGCAGTTGGATGGCAGCGATTTGGCAGGTCACGCCCGGATCCTTAAACACTTCCATATTGCACTGCTGCAGATCACGTCCGCGCCTCAATAGGTCCGTTTGGGGGTATAAGCTTATCACATGCCGGCGAGTGTCGATCCCTGAGGGAAGGGACGAGGAGGACGTCGGGGTGGGTGCGAGTGAAGCGGCCGCAGGCTGCTAGTGTGTTGGGTGGCCGTATGAGAATAATTTACTGCCCTGCCAGTGGGTGGAGCCTTCCCCTGTAAAAACAGGATAGGCTGCAGACCCAAACAGTTGCGCCCGCCTGACCAATCACGTGTGCCCGCTTGGTAGTTTCCGTGGGAATGGACCAGAGGAGGAAAAAAAAATAAAAAAATTGCCACTACTGACACTGGCCATTGCTGCCTTTGACTGCCCTTTCCGTGACAAAAACGGAACAACATGCCGCTTCAATCAAAAGCCAACGGCAACGGGGCGAGTCAGCGAAACCGGGCAAGTGGGGGGGGGGAGGGCATGTTTCCTGTCCTCTGTCTATACACAGTATAAACAGCAGGATTTTAGTCATGATAAACATACATGCTAGTCATCAAGTAAAGAACATCCAAAGTCTGGGCTGAAGCTGGAGGCGAGGCGGCCTGATGAACATCTGAGCACCCAGGCCTGTGCGTGTGTGTGGGCGGCCCGTGTGTGTAAGCCACGGGGCAGTAAATAGGTCAGCTCTGTGTGAGTTCGTGGGAAAAGCGAGGCACAAAGGATCACAGACTCACACCTCCTAACCCTCTGTGATCTCTGGGCTCCCACACTCACCCACAGACCATAGCGTTGTGTCTGATCACCGCACACCTGTCAGCCCGACGCCGTCTCGCATTAAACTCATGGCCCACCTGCTTGAGTATGTGAGGAGGCAGGAGGAGATACAGTATATCAGGTTCGGGGTTTCCTGTATGGAGTTAAAAACAGGTCTTTGTGTTCCATGCAAGCTGTGCTCCACCGCAGGTACATACTGTACAGAGCATAGGTGTAATTATTTTTCGCTGACTCATTTTACACTATTGACTATTTTTACCATTAAACCAGAAGTAAATGAATAACGAAGATAAACAGTTCTTAAGGAGATTTTCAAGGAGATACAGTTGAGGGAAAAAAATCAGTTGTTAATTGTCTTGTAGGGTGCATTGGCTAATTTTTCTGCTTTACTGCACTATGCGCAGGAAAGGCTCTTCCATGGAAACGTGCATGATGGACAACTGCAGCTCTAACAGCACAAAAGCAGCATCAGAAACAGCAGCAGCTCCAGCCAAGGAGCAGGTGACGCATTAGAAGGGAGGAGGGGAACCTGACCCGTGGAGAGCCGGTGTGGGTGCGGGTCTTTGGGATGACTCTCAATCAGCCGATTCAAGTGGGTCTCTGACTGCGAGGCCATCCCAAAAACCTGCACCCACAACAGCTCTCCATGGATCAGGTTCCCCACCCTGCTTTAGAAGTTTACTCAGCTGATCACAGGGTGAAGGGGTTTACCCTATTTTCAAAAATAAAAAAAAAAAACCGACAGCAACATTACATCACAAAATACTTTAATTTCAAGGTTTGTAATACTTACTCTAAAGACGACATGTATTACATCTTCACTGACACAATGAGAATACTTGATTTGACTCATCCATGCAGGTCATTACCTCATGACATAAAAGGCTTCTCCAGTCACCAGAGTGAACAGAGTGGCCAAGCCCGAAACACACTGCTTCACTTCCCGTTACAACCAAACGGGCCGGTCGGTACCACAACGAGAACGGCGCTGCGGCCTCAGCTGTTTGGAGCATCTCAACAACCCGACCTTCCCACAATCCCGTGCACAGACCACAGAATGAGAGACACCGTCCGGGTGCACAAGGAAGGGGGGGTGGGGGTGCAGGCGGGACTGACGAGTCACACAACGATGGGACACAAACGAAAACACGGGAAACTGGACAATTCACAAACACTGCAACTACAAGTTAAAATACCACTAACTGTGATATACATTCAACACTTTGCTATACAGTATTTTACGCAGAAAATATATATTTTAGGTTCCTTTGTTTTGCATTTAAATTTCACATGGTCCCTGTGAAGGTCCACTATGCCAGCCTTCACAGAAAGGCTTATTGCTCACACTTATTAATGCTTACAGTTGCCCTCTTGCATTGTCATTTTGCCGTAGATGATGTGATAGTCTGGCATGTCCTTCTGAAGGGACCCACATATGTCAGCAGTAGCCGTCATTCTGTTGTTTCACAGCGAACACGTCCTACAGTCACACTCACAAAACAGTATTTGGGAAACAAGTAGTTTCACAGCAAAAAAATGGCTTTTGCAATACATTAGCTGTTTGGAATCAGGACATATATACACAAGTTTGACAATGAATCCATAAAGGAAATGCACCTTCCTTGTCTGTCACGAGGAATCGTCAGGTTAAGATGTATAATTTGATAATTCAGCCTTTAAAACTAACCTTCATGTACAAATCATCTCAGTGCCTTAAATTCCCACATGTGGGCAAATACAGAATTTGTCTGACAAACGTTTTAGAGATGCAATGTCTCAAGTTAAAATTCTGGTTATTGAAAGGAGCAATTTGCAAACTGGACCACCAATGTGCAATGACTGCCCCCTGGTGGACTGCATAGGTAAGAACATTTAAGTTACCCCGAGTCACGGTTGGTTCAAGTTGCAATGCAGCACTGTTCCTCCAATCAGTGATGAAGTCTCTGCAGATCAGGGGTGCTGCTAGAGATTGTGGACCCCAAGAAGGCCCATCACACTGGGCCCCCAACCTAGACTGATCCGATTATGTTCCAGATTTTTTAGGGCCCCTGTCACTCAGAGGCTCCTGGGATCATCCTAACTTTCCCTCTCTTTACGGCACCCTGCTGCAGATACAAACTTGCACCCTAAACTATGTCAGCTCATGCTCCCTCTCTCCCAGTGTCGGGAAACCATGTGACAGCATCCACAGTGCTTTAGAGTTTTTCTAAACTCGTGAAGAAAAACGTCAAAACGATGCACACTTCGTATACATCCATACTGCGTAAATTATTGACGGGCATGCACAATGGCATCATTGGGAGCCTACAATCACCACACAATGTAGCTACTCCCCTGGTTACAGTATCAAAAATGGGCCTGTCACAACATCAAGACGTCTATTTTCAGGTACGCTAAAGGCACTTTTAACCACATGCGCCAGAGTGCCTCAAAGCTCTGAAAGCTCAGAATCAAAGCAAAAAATGAAATCATTTACCATCTGATGCTGTGTATTATCACCCAGGACACTCAAACGGCTTTAGTGTGAGGGACCTGCTTATCTGACCCTCTCATTGGCCTCCCAAAAAAGCATCTGACCTGGGGAAAACCAATCACTGTCAATCTCAGCAGGATACACTGGACTAACTGCTAATGTTAGACTTTGCATTGGTTAGCTATAAACCCGCTACTGTTCTGCAGGAGTGTGACTGTGTAGGACGTAGGGAGAGGCACAGAACACGGCTGTAGATACGGTTCTGGGGTGTGTTAGTGGTATATCACGGTACACAGAGGCATGCAGTGTCTTTGGATGACCCTACCGGGGGGCATGCAGGGGGTGCAACGCAGGGAGAGTGCACAACTGGAGCCCATTAGGACGGAAGATACGGGACGTTCTGGAGAAATAAGCTAGTAGGCTGGTCTATCTGGAGATGAACACCAGTGAGTGGTGAAGGTTTCAGCAAAGCTGGATCAGAGAGGAATCGGCTGGGTTAAGTGAGGCAAAGTTAGAAGAACAGGGTGAGTCGAAAGCCTACAGGCTGGACTAAAGAAGAATCAGAGGTTAGCTGAAGGTGCATCGGGGGAAATCTCAGGGTTTAATGGAAGCAAAGCTGTAGGATCATCCACAGGTTTGGTTCTCCAAGCTGAGCTGTTCACTCCGCTGCCATCTGCTCTATGTGGTCACTCAGAAGCTTGTACTGCTCTGGTAGACGGAACAAAAAAAAAAATCAAAGCCTACTTACAAATTTCTGATCAGTTACAGATTTCAATAAATTGCAAATAAGGCGGCAACAAATCTATTCAGAATCATTTTCAGTGTTGTAAGGTAATAGAGAAATCGAGCGATTGTGCTTTATTTAACCGAGCATGTTTGATTTGTGAGTTAGCACAGTTGAAGCAGGATTCAGTTGGTTTGGAAGCGTGAAAATGTTATTTATGCAGTTACAGTAGAGGCAAGTTCACATAAAAGTGTGCAGGCAGGTTGACAAATAAGTGCCGGAATACCTTCATTTAAGTTACCGATGACTGCCTGCTTCTTCAGGAAATCATTACAGAGCTTCTTACTGAGTCCAAAGGCCAGCATGTTATGGGTGAACGTCCTGAGGACAGAAACGATGGTTTATGAAGATGAAGATTCACGTGAGATCGAAGAGGATTCCAGAAAGGGTGTAGAAGCTACACGCTGGGCACTGGCAGACATAACGTCAGCTGAGTGATGAAGACCAAACAGATGATGCCTGGAAGGTAGATCCTTAACCCTCCAGTGTAGCAGAGTCTGCATCTCAGTGCAACACTAATGGGGCCAAACTCAGATATTTTGGCTTCAAAGTCAGACAAATGGTCAACGTAACACCAGTGATGTGAAAACCTGAGATCTACACTTTGCACTAAGTGTCTTCATTCAGAACAATAAGTTGTGTGTCTTAAAATATCTCACCCACCTGGTTAGGTCTGCGTCATAATTATTCTCATGCAACAAAAACTACCAATTGTCTTCTCTCAGCCCAAAACCCTTTCACCAGACCCGGCCCCAGCTCTGAAATGGGTTATCTAATGGGGCTGGGAAGATCTGATAGCTTGACAGCAACTCAAATTCAGGAAAATTAATCTGAGTTCATGTAAAAAGCTTAGTCGCTAGGCTCTTTATTTTTAAAGAGCCTGAAAACTTGCTAGATACCAGTTTGCTGAAACTTGGAGGCCCAGGGTAAGCCAAGCTTACGATTGGGTCACTCACCCAAGCTGCCCGAAGGTGATGTTCTCATTGAACCTGGAGCTGTCGTCTCGCTCCTCCTGGGTCATGTGACACCACTTCTCCCTGGGACGGCGAAAAGGCAGCATGTAGCAGAAGCTGAGCTACGACTGGGAAAGAGACTTCCCCCGATTTTCTTAGCAAAAGCCATGAAGCAGCAGTTGATGATGGTGCCGCCATTGGCCGCTAGAACTAAAACGTAAGCAAATATGCAGTAACAGAAAAGCCTTTGTACAAGATGCATAAACACATGTAATCTGCTACTCATTCAGGTTCACGGGGTTAAGGGATGTATGAGGGAGAAACAAACAAACAAACAAATAACACACTGAATGTGTCCGGGTTCCCTGGCTATCATGGAGAGCAGGGGTAAGCACAGCACAGCCTGGAAAATTACAGTATATTTACGATGTGAAAAACAAACCTATTCCAAAGTCACATGAAAGCCCATGTGTTCTGGCATTTGGGATAAAACTCACAAGCTCATCCATGGACAATATCTAACTTCTAAACAGAGAGGGATTTAAAATTTCTCCTTTTTCATGATTTTCAAGTAAAACGTCCGTTTTTAGAGGCTCAGTCAGAAGCGCTGCTTTCGGACGAACAGCTTCCCCACAACACACTTGGCTTTCTACTGACGACAGGACACTGCTGCCTCTGCACACGGCTCTGCAGCTGCCCTTGTGACCTGCTACTAACGCTACAAAATGACAACTTCCTGTTTGTCAATGGGGTGACAAAAACTACACAAAAAAAACAAAACAAAAAGACACCTATTGGTCTAAGCAAAATCTGCTTGTTCCCAGCATGGACTGGGTGTCTTAATCAGATTAGTGAACTTGACTGCAGAGAGATAATTGTACTGGCAGCAGCAGAACACGGCGGGGCGGGGCACTGGGGGGGTGGGAGTTGTCAGTCATAGCACCTTCCATACTATCTATAGTCTATAACCATGTGACAGGTCTTGGGGGCGTGGCTGTAAATCAAAGGGACGTTTCTTTCCATTTAAGGAGGTGGACCTGCAGTTTAACAGCGCATAAGACAGAATTACAAACACACATCTATATAGATGTCAGGGGTGGAGGTCAAAATATTTATAACAACCTTACCACAGGTCTCTGCCTCCCCTATCATGCCCATCTAAACCTGCAAGGCACCATCAGCCTGACCAACTGAGGTACGCTAGGACCCAGGGGAACAGACAGCCACATTATAAAATGCTTCCTTCTCATTGGAGGGAATATCGGTGACATGCGTCAGGAGGAAGCAGCGCTCATAGTTTGCATGAAGGGTTTGCTTGCTGTGACGGCATCTACAAGAGCATGACTGACACCTCAGTGAATTTCCTCTGGTATCCCGTGTAACAAGGTCCCTATTCAGATACATACACTGAACAAAAACAAATCTGTATACACCTGCACCATGAACCAAGAGACAAAATCACATGCTTAGATTTACACTGCAATCTATTAGTCTTCTAGCATATACAGACAATCTGGGTTTATAACTTAAAACTCACACCACAATTTCACCCCCGAACATTATTCAGGTTCTGCCTCACATTGCCCCCTAATGTAAGTGAAATGTAAATGCACAAAACTGCTTCCTTTCACCAGAGCCAAAATGTTCAATTCTTAAGACCAGTGGTTAAGTTTTACCCAGCACTTAACTAAATGTTATGACATACTCTCCCAAATGATGGGCAGATGTTAACACACAAAATACCAATAACAGAATGTCCCTTAAGCAAAGATGACAGTCAGACTCCAAACAGGAAATTCCCATTTGGATGGGTTCATTAATGGGACCAGTAAACATGCTAGAGACTGAACCTTTACCCATCATGCATTGGGCTATAGCCAAAATAACCATCATGCAATGGTCCCAAAAATGAAAGAACGGGCAGCATGCAGCGGAACGTTCCATACAGCTTATTTCCGATGCCACAACAATCCCACACAGGCTTCCTGTCTGGGTCTCTTCATGTCCGTTTTATCTTCCAACACGGCTTCCACAAAACCACAAAGCATAATGCATATATGATAAACCACAAGCGGATACACTGCGGCTGGCTTTTTGACATGTGCTGTGGACACAAGATTACACTGTTACGCAAGACTGAGGGATGCTCGAATGCAGGGCCAGCCCAAGGCACAGGCAAACTAAACAGCTGCTAGGCGCTCAATGGCCACCAGGGGGCGCCCCCATTTGATCAGCCTGCCAGAATGGAAAGGAAGATGACAAATGACAAGGGGCTCCAGTTCAAATTTTGCTCAGGGACCTGCTCAAATGTGACAATTCAATAACTAGCTTACATTTAACATTAATTATAGCCAACACTCAAAAAAGATGAAGGAGTGCTAATTAAACTGCATCTATCTCCATCAATCAGCTACTCCTCTAGTATGAATGTTAGGCCTGGCATCAGGGCTCAGGAGTAGACTTGAGGAAGAGGACCTGGGGTGTCTGCACAGGGTGGAGGAGGAGTCACATGGAGTCTGGGCGCAGAGGATCACATGACACAGCTGCGTGAAGCATTCTCCATAGCGGTGCACTGAGTATGCTCTCACGCACTCACGTGTGCCCAGCGCTGAAGTGAAAGGGACGTGGACAACCTGAACATTTAACAGCACGCCAGCACCAGGACTGGGGACCACTGGTCTGCATCCTGATGATGGAGGCTCTCCATAGGGGGGAGGAGGTGCCTTCAATAGGGGCACCAGCCCGGTAAGCAATTACTGCTCAGGTAGAATAAAGTCTGAACACCACAGCACAGTAGGACTCGCACTGATAAAACAGCATCCCAAGGTCTGACCACCCGCCCCGCCTCTGACCACCCACCCCGCCTCTGATTTTACTGGCCCTACTCCCCATCTCCCTCTAGTGGGGCTCCACGGGAGCAGACAGAGTGATGGACAGACCTCTCGCTTGTGTCGTCCTCGGCCGTCCGCCTGCCGCGGCAGTAGGGCACAGGGAAACAGAGGATTAAAGATGCATGCGGAGAGCGGAGGAGAGAAAAGGTACAGAGAGAGTGCGAACAAGACGTCGGCAATGACAACAGATCACCAGCAGGGGGGGCACATCCTGCCGTCTGGCAAAATGACAGTCTGACGAACAGCGAACCTCTACTAGATACACCAACACTGACATTCCTACACTTTAATACACACGTTAATACAGAGCATACTGGGGGCGTCCAATCACACAGAAGGCCACAGAGTCAGCCAATAGGGAAGACAGTCGATAGCTGATTAATAACAACCAATAGCTGATGATTTTTGGGAAGAAGGAAACATTGTTGGGCTTAAATGTCATTTTCCATTGAGTGGCACCAGAGAATGGCAGGGACATTGCAGACCCCGGGGTCTTCAGTGGTATGGCTGGACACCTGTGAGCTACACAGAACCTCACCTGTCATCACTCACACCCCTCACCTCACTACACCCTCTGGAGCATCGACACAAGCAAAACACGCTCACAGAGTCTAAGAAGACTTACAGTTGGACTTGAGCTTAAATCAGAACGACCCGATATCCGCTCAACGGTCCTATTCGGAAACCTTTCGGTCCATTAGAACCGGTCCTTGTGCCTCGCCGGACTCACCTGGTCGTGGGAGACCTCTTTTTCCTTTCGCAGTGGACGGCGTCAAAGAACGCAGCGTTCCAAAACCTCAGAGTGTGCCTTTGGGCGGGAAAGACAGAGTTTAAGGGAGCACCGTACCATTACAATATGAATTTAACCGGAGTGGTGCGGGGCTTTTCTACACCACCTTAAGAGGGCAGCAGTGGTCAATACATCTCCTTTGTAAAGAGTGCTGTCAGTACAGCTCCCTTACAAAACAAGCGAGAGCTACATCCCTACATGAGGTTGACGAGAGGGCCAGTCTTACCAGATGGGCTGCTGCTTAAGGTGTGTATAGAGATAGATCTTTTCCCCTTTCTTTTCATCAGGTGACTCTGGAGATGGTAACAGGGAGAGTCAGTGAGCAGATGAGTCACTTAATCCTTAAGTCTTATTATTTATTAAGCAGACGCTTCTATCCAAAGCGATGTACGATTGAGAAAGCAGGGAGCGACTGGGGATTAAGGGCTAAAGGGGCCGATGATGAAACCAAACCGCCAACGCTGGGATTTGAACCGGGAACCATCCGATCTCAGGCACAGTGCCCTAACCTGCTGAGTCACGCAGTGGCCTCTTTCACAGCAGGCACAGTGCGCACTGGAGGAACAAGGCTAAGCACTGCGATAAGTGGCCTGCGAAATGACAGCTGCCCACAACGGGGAAGACGGGGAACAGAAGGAGAACAGGAGGAGAACTGAAGGGTGGCCACACACACGCACGCACACACATGCACACGCACGCACGCACACACATGCACACGCACACACACACACACGCACACACGCACACACGCACACCCTGAGGGGCCATTTCAGGTGCAGGAAGTAAAAATCCAGACCAAGCTTTTGCTTCAACCAACCGGTTGAATACTCTGTGATTGTGACTCTTCATACACCAGTGGTTGGTTGGAACAAAATCTTGGTCTGGATTTTTACTTTCTGGACCTGAAATGTCCATCTCTGAAAGCCATGAGGTAACGGGAAGGGGGCACACAGGGAGGGTCCAGACGCATCAACCGCCCACACAGAGCCGGGGCAGGAATCGAACCCACATCCCTGGAGCTGTCATGGCAATGTGCCACACAGTGGTTGAGTTGCGCAAATATTTCAAGGGGGTGGTGGGACTTGTTTGGGGTCCTCAACAATACAATTTATGGGGGGGGCGATCGCATGGTCAATCCTCCAGTTGAGCAACCCGATTTATAATCAGTAGATTTATCTTTATGTGATATTATCCAATTTAGAGGGATGGTGAGGAAAGGGGTGAAACCCATGAGCAGCCCATGACAGCTCCAGCGCGGGTGCTGCCCACCCCCCACCGAAAGGAAACCCCGTGGTGACATACCGGGCTTCGGGGGTTCCCCTTCCGCCGGGCTGCTGGCTTCCCTGAGAAGAGAAACAATGAGCGCATACTTCAGAACCAGCGCGTGTGGAAAAAGCCAGCGGTCGGCACTCTGTGCCGATGCCGACGTCAGCGTTCCTGGGGAACCGCCGCACGGCGCGCCTGCACTCAGAGAGCGGCCACTGTCAGGCACACAAGCTCGTCAGGCTAAAAGAGCATAAGCATCCACCAAGCATCCGACTCAGCTTCTCCTATAAAGAAAAACCTACAACCATGTCAGTCACACGCTTCATTAAGGAAATGTAACAGATGTGCTGTTAAAGGGTAAATACACCTATATATTATCATACATTTCCTAAAAACTACCTACTTCTGAGCATCTGAAACTGATCCTTCTCATGAAAAAGTTCTTAAAAATGACGATGTAACAATCACATGGTACTTGAAATTAAATTAAAGGAAAAAGATCAATGATGTACGAAAAACTGTCCATTTTGTGGTCGGCTGCACGGCACTGTCTCTAGACGCAGAGAGACGCCCCTCACTCGCTCGTGCTGGCAGACGGCCTCCTCAGCTTGCTCTCCAGACCCCCGAAGAAGCCCTTGACGTCGCTCCTGGCCGAGCTGTTCTTTAACAGCCTCTCCGCCATGTCCTTCTTCCCAGACAGCCAGGTGTTGGCACTGCGCAGGTAGGAGTCGATGCCCCCAGACGGACGTTCCAGGAGCTCCGTGGGGGACAGTTGTGACTTCCCTGGAAAGGTCACAGGTGATGCTGACAATAGTGGGGAAAGTAGGAGTGACTCAGGCCAATCGATTGATTGATCAGAATGAAAATTGGGAAAAAAGAGAAAGAACTAGACTTGCCAAGGAGAAATATTGGAAAACTACAGTAAATCCTGCCCTCCGAAACTCACAAAAAACATCGGGAACATGAAAGGCTACTTCAGAGCAGCAGGGGCAAGTTGAGGAATTCTGCCTAACTAACATGAGACTGATTTATGATCTGGGCTGAAGCATAATCGAAAGGGAATGCAGGTTGATTTTCAGCATCTCGTAGCACGGAGGTATGTCGAGCGTGTGAACGCGGTCACGTGCAGAGGGGAGGACACACGCTGCGTCGCCGCTTACCCATGTGGTAATACGTGAAGCACATGGTCATGAGGTTCTTGGCCGGACCGTAATCATCCATCTGGTAGCATCTGCCGATTACACAAAGCCAGCATCATTCCAGCGCCGTCGTCACGGCGACGTCCGTCCGCCAGCAAACAGCACTGCTTGTCTACTGTTTGCAGACGACAGCTGCGAGATGTTTATGCAAGATTGTGCAAGCCTTTAGGAAATACTGCCCCAGCATTGTGTAAGTGCGGCCTGCTTCTAGTAACAGAAACTCGCCCCCAGACTTTAGGAATCTTACAATCACTACTGGTTTCCTAAAGGGGGCGAGTTTCTGTTGCTAGGATCAGGCCACAGTTAGAGATTCTGAGGTTAGTTTTGTGGGGGGGAATATGAGGGGCCATAATTCATATAGAGGGGCCAGTCTTTATAATTAGCCAATGATATGCTTTGAACTGGTGAGTGATGAGGGATGGGACACACTGGGGGCCAATCAGCTCTCAGCTTGGGCCAGTGCCCTCTGAGGCCCCACCCCTACAGGAAGTGGTTCTTTAAGTCTTTCTACTCACTCGAACAGGACGACGGCGAAGGCCTGGACCAGCCTGTAGAAGGTCTGCTCCGACACACACTTTGAATGGCAACGCTGTGAAGACATCATCTCTCTTTAATTACTGCACAGCCAAATGAGTCAAATTCAGTGTCCCTGCCATCTGGACACTCTCCACTTATCCTGTGTGATTTTGCTTGGCAAATAAAGCACATGCCCTCATGGGATTTCTCCTCAAATTTTTTTTGCTAATGACTGGACAAAAGAGGCCTTGTAAACTCATAAATGAGTGGGACAAACATTCACTGTCAGTTACAGGCTAATATAACTCCCTTCCCATTGGTTACCCGACTGTTTCCCATTGGCTGGATATGCCTGCATACAGGAAGACCGCCATAAGAGTAAATAAGGAGTTCCACACTTGAGCTGCCATACCTGTGCACTGACATACTTGGCAAACCACTCCCTGCCCTTGCTGTTTTCTCCGCTGCACAGCTCCCCGAAGCGTGCCTTCTCCTCCTGGTCAAAGTCCTCCCTGTGGAGAGGCAGGGATCAGAGCGTCCAGTTATCCAGTTATATTACACCTGTTTTGTGCTGAAATCTGTGCAATACACTAACTAAAGGGAAGCTGACCTAACCCCTTTGATTCTGAGTGCTAGCTAAATGCTAGCCAGTCATAATGCTAGTCCCTCCATCTCAGATCTGCAGATCTCTGGTTCTACACCCCAAAGTACGGCAGCTTTCCAACCTGTCGTCTCACCTGCTGTGGAACACCTTCTCCACGTAGTTCTTCATAAACTCCCTGCACTCGGCTGCCTCAGACCCCGCCTCCTCCGCACTGTGATTGGACGACGAGGATGAGCGCCGCGAGAAGCTCCGGGTGCAGGTGGGCGACTCCGCCCCCTCGTGCTCGCTGTCCGCGGACTCCGTGGCCTCGCTGCCGTTGCCTTCTTCCCCGTCACTGGATCCAGCCCCAGAAGGTGCGGTGCCCGGCTGGGCCCCGGACAGACCGAATGCTGTGGGTTCGAGGGGTCCGCACTGCATAGCCAGAAGGTCGGCGGCGTAGCCAGGTCCGCCCTGGGGGGCGGGGGGGTACGTCTCCTCAGCAGAGGGCGGCGTGTCAAAGTCAATCAGGTTGCCCACGGCAACCCCGTCCCTCTCCATGCTGGAGCCAAGGGGAGAGAGGAGTGGCGAGGGAGTCCTACCACGCAAGTTACTGCTCACTACAGCCACAGGAGGTCGCTGTAGAGACAACCCAGAGGGAGCACAGTCTTTATAAGAGCCATCATCTACCATTTACATATCATTAGCATGGTTAGTTTATTTTGTCCATAGCAACAGACAATTGAGGGTTAGACGGCAGCCCTGCAGCAATGCGGCTTAAGGGCCTTGCTCAGGGACCCAAAGGTGACATCACTCTGCCAGCCACAGAAATTGAACTGGCGACCTACCAATCATGGACAGAGTCCTAACTTACAGACACCCATGGCCCCCAATCTCACACCTGCTAATGTACCCTTAATGAACCCCGTTTGGGGGGAGGGCAGATGCTGATGTTACAATTCAGACATCCTCCCCCTCAGGCTGATGGAACTAATCAAATCGTACTTTTCCACTGGCATTGAGGAACCAAGCTGTACCGGAGCTGGGCCACGAGAGACTAGTTACAGTGCGGTTCCAGCTCGCTCCGGTTTTCCACTGCAGAAGGGTCGGCTCGGAGACGGCGTTGCTGGGTTTGGAGAGCGTCAGTGACGTAAAACTGAAGAGATGCTTATTTACTGTTCACACGATGTACATCATAATTTACTATCTGCTAATTTCCACGACCAAATCTGAGAGAATCGCTGTCTTATGTCAGCATCAAATGTCAGTGAAATTAGCATTCACTTGCGTAAATTTATATTACAAAACTATTCCGTTCAGCTGTTCTATAGTATGTTTTTAAGTAGGAGGTTGGAAATATTTAAGTTCAGAATTATAATAATATTGAATAAAATATAGAATATGCTCTTTTTCCTTCAGAAAATCCATGCATATTGACAGAGAACACCAGTATCACAGAACCCAATGCATTTTGACCAATCAGATGGTGGCGATGCAACCAGCTTGGTTTGGTCAGGCTTTTGCCCCTGCTGGTACGCAGAGCCATGTCAGGGTGAGTACGGCTCGGGTTCGGCTCGGATCATTTACAAACGCAAACTGTCAGTTCGGGGTTCAGCTTGGTTCTTGGTGACAGTGGAAAAACGTCAAAAGTCCTACTTGATCTAGTATTTCCATGTGAAATGTGTTTATTAAAAGAAACACTGAACAGAAAACAGGACTGTACACTTATATAGCTAGACACTCAAATAACAGCATGACACACAGGCACAAACAGAAACACATATATGCCACAAAATGATCTCTAAGCCCTACGTTACACAAACAGGACGGTTGCAACAGGAGAGATATAAGCTCCTTATGCCATCTATAAAGACACAGTCATCGTGTTGCTTACCTGCTGTGTTCTTCCAAAGTGACTCATAGTTTCACAGATTTACAGCTACATGTTTCACAGAAACCAATTAGGTTAAATGCTTTGATCAAGGGTACAACAGCAGCGGCCCTACAGGGAACAGCGGCTCTACAAATCACCACCGCAGTGTTGTTGGTTTTTTTTAAATCCCACAGTTCAGAGGGAAACACCATGCCTCACCAAGCAGTGTTCACCAAGCAGTGCTCACCAAGCAGTGCTCCCGCAAGCAGTGCTCACCATTAGCCCTGGATACAACACAGGGATCCCAGAATTCAGTGCATCCTGCTACGACGTGTCCTATCTGCACCTGTGCATCGCCATCGCACCTCCCAATGGAATAAAACCGCCACCGTCCCCAGGATGAAAGTGGCTCTTCTCTGGCATGTGTGGGCGGGAGGGGTGGAGGGGCTGTCACGATCCCGCTTTTCGTCTCATATCGTGTACCACCGCATGGTGGAAGCACTCTGCTCCCTCCCGGCCATCCAAGGCCCCCCCCCCCTGATGGAATGGGACCGGTTATGCAACCGGGGACTGCAAGCGCATGACCCAACACGGCCGGGAATGACACTGCGGTGGAAGCAGCCGCGCAGGACGGACACACACTGTCAGGCTGCGCCGCTCGCTACCCCGAAGGAGCTTAGATTTACTGCACATGTGGTGAGCAGGTTACTCACAAATATTATGTGATGGATCCTAAACCATTTGAACAGGTGACCAGTGAGCTGCCAGAGGAGAGATGACGTTTCTGTAGGTGCCTGGATGCCCCTGTAGGGCTTCTGTGAGAGGAGACTCCCTCTGATGCTCTCGGAAATGCGATGCGGGGGGGGGGACGCTGTGCCTTCCAACGGGGGCTGTGCTCAGTGGACTGTGTAAGGAGCA